CGTATGTGGACTGAGGGTGGGTATTATGAATTTAGTCAATAGATGTTACGTTATATCAATAAACGTTAATTACCACAAAATACTAGCGAAAACTGAAAGGAAAAATCTGCCAAGTAAATAAGCAATCATTAAGATTATAATTTTCCGGAATATGTACAATACCCAAAATCCTATTCATTGTGAAAACTAACAGAAACAAATGCTGAAACCGAAAAATGGTCCGATCGAACTGCGATGAATAGGTACACTATCTCCCCGTGATTTATTTGTAACATAATAATTAATTAGTAATATATCGTCACTGAGCCAGGCTTCGCATAAAATGACCACATTATAATCCAAGATAATTCCGAAAACATTTTGACGTTTTAGTGTGAAGTCCATAAATATTCTGATAAAACAAATATAATGGGTACAAACAAGTTCATTTTTTTTAGTTATTGTTGGTACCCTGTGATATAACGTATTGTTAAGTATTGGTCCCCGATATTATAAGTAATAGGTATGCTGACTAGTCCCTTCAGTTAGGCGGGCTTTACTTGCTTCAGGTACCGTACTCAGTATTCAATAGAGAGAATGTTTGTAAACTTTTTTTTTTAATCTTTAACTGGACTACTATAATTTTGCTAAGTAATCAGATTTTTACTTTTTGCGTCGTGTACATTAAAATGTCATTAGCTCATGAGGAATAGTTGAACAGGGTTGTGGAATAGCTTAATAAAAAAATATATATACTCTATCATCTTTATTCTTAGTAGTGTAAGATTTAATATTACACTACGTTAATGTTCTTCAGCAACTTTGATTTATATTATGTTGGGAAACCATGTATATGTTACAGTGAAAGCTGGAAACCTGTCAATGCCAACAATCACTAGGGCATATTAGCATTTACTGAGAACTTTTGACTAGTGTATGCTAGCATTCCTTAGTGATTGTTAGAATTGACTGCATTTCACTGTAACATACAGGGTTAGTCACGAGTGAATTACTTCTGAAAATTATTTTTACCCAACCCAAAATACTAATACCCTGTACCACTTGATATTATCTAAATTTAAAATGAAATGCCTAATCCATGATTGCTTTGACTTTGGCAGTGTCACTTTGACGTTAATTAATTTTTAACATTTTTTTTTCATCGTTGACTCGCCTCTAGAGCCCCATTGGATCGACGACATACAGTCAGATCAATCTGGGCTATACTGAAGCCGTAAGTGCTCTACCAATGTTGTTCGCTGCTAATGTGCATGTGTTAATTCGCCATCTCTACGTCACCTAGAGCCACTTCGAAGTGCAAATCTGCAACTTCTGGACTTCTTCGGCCATCCATTTACAAAAAAGCCGTAGCATCCCCCCAAAATGCCCAACATTTTCAACAGATTAGTAGTTAAATTATTTACTTACTTGTTTGAGTTTGTGTTGTAACCTTTGAATAAAATGCAGTAAAAGGAATTTTTAGAAATAATTTTCTCGTGATTAATCGGTTGTAAAAGATCAAGAAGCACACTGACAAATTTATTAGCGGCGCCGGAGGAGATTTCCGACTGGCTGCGGTACCACCATGGACATTCGCGTAACCTCCGTTTCCACAATTGTCAAAATGAGATTGCCAAACTCAAAGCAATCATGGATTAAGCATTTCATTTTAAATTCAGTTAGTATCAAATGGTACATGGTATTCGTATTTTGGGTTGCGTAAAAATAATTTTCAGAAGTAATTCTCTCGTGACTAACCCTGTATATACTAAATAGATAGTTCAATAAGATGAAATTTTTTAATATTTCGTAAGTTGCTGTATTACAGAAGTATACAAAGTTCGAAACTAGTTCCTTTGGAACTAGAAAAAAGGAAATTTAAGTTTCTTATTCGCAAACATATTATTATTAATATTATGCATGTAAAACTTGAAGAAAAAAGCCTTAAAAAATAAATGTGATCCAGAAACAATTTTCATCTTTGATCTTGATTTGATCACTTCATTTAATACATTAAAAATTTCGAAGGACCACTGCTACGCTCCCGCAAATGACGACGAAAAATATAATTTGTTTTGCGAATATTAGAATAATGGACAAAGATCGTAAAAGGTACTTGAATAAAAGAAATGTGGAGTACAAAACTTTCTATGAAAAAAATACAAGCTTGTTTTTTCGTACGTAGGCTTCCCATGCTTCAAAAATGTGAACAAGTATGAGTTTACAATTTTAATAAAATGCTCCGGGTTTCACCATACTACATATAGACTAGCAAATAATAAATAAACATGTTTCTTGCATATCGACAATATACAAAGTAGAAAAATGATTCTGTTCATTAATAATTACCTCAGGTGATGCAAACGTCACAGATTTGGTTCAGTTTTAGAATGTATATATTTCAAAATAGTCAATACATACACGGCACAGAATGGAACAACAAATTTTTTATGCACCTATAAAGATAAAGATAACTGACACAAACTGTGTTACAGGACAGATTATCAGTTTCATTTTTATAACAACTGATCTGCTCCTGTATGTATACTATCCTCAAACATATTTGGCGTTTATGACTTCACACCAATTTGACTCCCATTATAATTCAATAGGCCGTCACAACCGGATGTCTTAAACCCGCTCACCGATACCTACCTGAAAAGACCTTTGTGATTTTGTTTGTTAAAATTTTCAAATTTCAAAATTTCCTTACAGAACATGATTTATACTTTGAAGAAAATTACACAAAGACACAATTATTAGAAGTGTTACACACTCGAAAATTTGAGAAACAATATAAAAAGATGCTATGGCGCGAGATCGTGGATTTAGGGTGATTAGACTTCCGCCGTACCATTGTATATTTAACCCCATCGAACTAATCTGGTCGCAAATGAAAAATAATATAAGAAGGAATAATACGGCACCAAAATTTAGTAGTGCAACAATTGACATAATTAGGGAAGAAGCTTCTAAAATAACTGCCGAAATGTGGGCCAATTGTGTACGACATTCCACAAAAGAAGAAGACCAGTACAGGGCACGGTTGATAACACCGTTAATTATTAATTTAGAAGAGTCGAGTGATGATGACAGTGACTATTTCGATCAATAAATAAGCAGTAGTAGTTAATAAGTAAATAGTTGTGCTGTAAAAAAAGATGATTGAGTACAAAGTTACTTTGTTTTTACTTAAAATAAAAAACTCGAAAGGCGCAGTTGTCGGTAAATGCAAAACTCAGTCCTGCCCTGTGCTTTTACCAGAAAAGGTCTTTTCAGGTAGGTATCGGTGAGCGGGTTTAAGACATCCGGTTGTGACGGCCTATTGAATTATAATGGGAGTCAAATTGGTGTGAAGTCATAAACGCCAAATATGTTTGAGGATAGTATACATTGTTGTGGGGAAATATCTCGCCATCAAACATGTTTTAAAGAAATCATATATTCTGTTTTGTTCTTAAGCATAAAAGTATTATTATAATAACAAACCAATCAAATATAATCAAAATTAACCGCCGAACTAACGAATCATATGTTGTCGTTCTACTAATATAGATTAATACATACGGGTTTATTAAAACAGTTATTTGATGACGTCGCCGTTGCAATGAACTTCTAATAAGATTTACAAGACTGTTTGTGGTTAGGCTTTTATCTTTACCCACAAATATTTTATATCATTTGGTGCATATAACAGTGTTTGTGCTGTATCATTTTCTCGAACTAACCAAATTTTTCTGCGTGACGTGTATAAATGTGGGTTTTTTTTATCTACACTAAAGGTAAATTTACTTTCACCTTTTGTCTGGTACTTAGTTAATTTGTTTTAGAAGTAATGTACAAGCACAAATTTTAAATATCCACGTTTACGTTAAATCTATAACTGTGTGTGTATACGAGCTTCACTTCTTTTCTTTTTCGCTTTTTTTCATGAAGAATCTTTTTGGAGACTTTTTGTTCAACCACTCAGTATTTGTAATCTCATAATATTTCAAACTAAGCGCATCGTATTTAAAGGCCAGTACTAGAAAACGTTAATATTTTTTTTCGCCTCATGAATTTTGAAGTTCACTTTACAATCGCAGATAGACCAATCGTAACTTGCTTTTTACACAAGTAGTGTGTAAAAGCTCCAGCAATGCGGGAAAAACATCAAAAAACACTGGCCTTTCAGGAGTATATGCAAAGTTTAAAAACCCAATGAACTGAATTTAAAATGACTTTTTCTTACATTTGAAAGTACGAGTATTACATTAGTAAGTTTAACATTTAACCCGTTTTATAAAACCGAAATCGTCAAAATTAAATCTCGGCTTTGAAACAACGGAATGTTCTCGATTATAATGGAAAATGCGATGTAACAACTGAAAATAGTCATGAAACTTTATTATTTAGACATGTTTTTCTAGATTAGTGAATTTTCTGTGGTTTAAGAGTTATATTTTGTATTAATAATTTTTAAGATGCCTAAACTGCAAACGCATTCACTAAAATGAGCGTATGGAGCTGTTTTCTACCTAGTTTTCTGAATTCAATGTGGTGGTGGTCAGTATATGTTTAAACTGATTTTAAACTTCATTTTGTGCATACTTTTTCCCATATTTGTAACCCAAAACTAACGCCCTAATCTAGGGACATTTTTTCATTTGAAAATAGAAGATATGGGATTTTCAAAAGCGTCTTTTTTCATATTTGTTAAGATTAATATGCTAATCAAGGATCGTCTTTAAAATTTGCGTCCTGGTGAAAATAAAACGCCCTACTCAGTTGTTGTATATGCATAAATAAGTACGATTATTTTTAACACAATTAAAGACTTAAACATAATTTTAGATAAAGAACTGCCATTTCAGCCAAAGTACAGTGAAAATTCATGACATCAATTATCTAGAAGTAATAAATTTTGTTAGACATTTTTTGTTATCTATTATGGTGCAATCAATACTCTAACGTTGATTATATCAATTCAAACCATTTGCAGCCATAGATTTTATGCATTTGCAAAAAAGAGCATACGAGAATTACATAACATAATTTATTTGTTCCTCTTATTGAATTCTGATAAGATAAAGACCAATGTTTATTTTATTAATCAACGGCAAGCTGTCGAAAAGAACCGTCTATTCCATAAATCGATTCAGAGGTTTTCGGTTTTCCTGGTCTATTCTTCTCATTTGTTCCATATTTAGCATCTTCAATAAACCAATCACGATAGCTTTCAACTTTGGTCTTCCAATAGGCTACGATGTCTTCTATTTTGCCACCTTCTCCACCTAGTTCTTCCGGAAGTACTGATTTTGGTACAACTTGATGTAAATCCTCTGGAGTTTTACATATGCGCATCTAAACATAATTTAAATATGAAACTAACAATAAACGCGTTTTGAACTGTTGCCGTCACTCACCCTGTCCCGCACTTTTTCAGTTAAAAATGGTTTAAACACTCTATGAATTGCGTCAAAGACAGGAGTAACATTGAAAAAAATGGCACCTTTAATTCTATTCGGATAGCCATGTTGAACACAAGTCATAATTTTTTTCACCAGTGATGGAGAAACTGTTGAAATTATGTGAGTCATCGATAGATTAGACATATCATGAAGCAAAGTGGTTCCAGCCACGGCAAGATTGTCATCTTCTAGTAACAGGATGTCCTGTATCATTGCACTAACTTTAAAAACTGCAGCTTGATCTAAGTCATGAATAGAGACAAGACTATTTCTTGCTAGATTATAGCGCGGCCCAGCTGGATGAGCAGTCTTTGGTAAGGGCAACATTGGCCTAAAATTATTAATTCAAGACATATTTAAACAATAAATCTAATGTATTATTTACCCGACAGACAACACTTTCTGAATTTCTGGTCGTAATGGATCTCGATCCGCGTAGATTTCCGGGGTAATAGTTTTTAAGGTGTAATGCATATCTATTTTTTCTTTAGTACGCTCTAGACTATATTTGCAGCCTCTTAAAAATGTTAAAAGTAACTGCTCATCTACAATTGAAATAGTTTACTAAGTGGGAACATTTTTCAAAATAAAATTAAAAACTTACCGGTCCTTGCTGTTAAGTACGCCTGTTTAGAAAGCCAGGTTTTAATGTGAGCCAAATCATCAGGAATTCTTTGGGGATCTTCATTTAGCTCTTTTATGGCCACGTCTTGCAGTTCCGTAGAGAGCTCTCTTAAAGGCATGTTGCTTGTTTAAAACCGGTAACAGTGACTGTGTGTGAAGGTTATGTCGATGGGTTTAGAGATAGTAAGAGACAGATAAAAAGTTATTATCAGCTGATATCAGCACTTAGTCTCTATGCAAGTGTTAGCTGATAACATGTAATTACTTCTACCCGTACAATGGCTTTACCAATTCCCTTGTTACACCTGTTAATAATAATAAATGTTAAACTTATGTTACGTTTTTAATATTTATGTGGTCAAAACGAAATACTAACAGAGATTTTTATAAAACAATTTATTAATGATGTGCTAATGATTTTCACAATTAATCAGTAACTACAACAGTGTAACTACAGGTACAAAAAAAATAGAAAAAAATTCTTGTTGAGTAAACCCCTTAAAAAAAAACTGAGGAGTATTTAAATGGCTGTTGTACAAATCGTTGCAGGCAATTAATTATCTACCATCGTTTTTTATTACTCTTTGTACCCTTCATTTCATAAACGTTCCTTCGTGATAAAAAAATTATCTTTATCATAATAAAAAAATACGCCCTGCAAATGCATACTGTTGAACTCTATTTCGTGCAAAAGTACGTACTGAATTACATATCATGTGTTTATACCATAGATGTACGAGTATAGGCGAACTTAGTGATCGTTAGCTAAAAAGACAACTTTTTACGCTGTTGGCCATTTTGAGACATATATTCATATTATTTTTAGAAAATAACTGATGTACTGACCTCAAGGGAGTAACTTCTTGCTTAAAAAAATTATGTAGGTACACATATTTTTGAGAGGGAAAAATTTTAATAATTAATAATACATAGGTAACAAAGTCGATTAAAGTCAGTTATTATGAAATTATAAATCAAGGTCGAACTTGGAAGTATATACTGTCGTTTCCAAAAAATGTTATGAATACATAATTCAGCAGTACATCTGAATACAAGTTTTACTTAACCTAAGTTAACTGTAGAAGAATTTTCTACTAGCCTTGATGGGAACCCGAGGCTATTAGCTAATCTGATCTTGTACATCAGATGCATCAATTTACCGCTACTTGCCTATAATGATGCTTATTGATATCGTCTTTCTCTGTTTGTAAAATTGCTGGGCTCTTCAACATCCGTGATGTAATCAGATTGCATTTTGAAAAATCAAAAAGTTCAAGCAAGTTATTATTATTATTATTATTAGCGATTTATTTCCAACGGGCAAGCCCTTGGAAATACACTTCCACAACATTGACTCATCTTAGTGTTACCACTTTCAAGGGAACATTTAATAATTTGCTTGATTTAAAACAATCCTGAATTCCGATTTGCTCCTCAAGAAAAACTTCTACGTCCTGTGAATCCAACTAAGCCGTTATCTACGAACACAGTTAATATTAGCATTTCGTCCTTTTTTACCTTGATGTATAAACACGGAATACCTTCACTGACTCTAAATCCTAATTTTTGCAGAAAACTTCCGAAAAGGTTCGTTTCAGCAGCTGGCTCTTACTTGACTCTGATTTAGTTGGCAAACTTAAGTTTGTTGTATCTTCTTGATTCTTTCATGTGTGTAGTTCTAGTTCACCATGCAGAAACCGCGTTCATACTTCGAACTACACAAGATGCAGCATGTTCTATTGCAGCAATGTAAGAATTGCGCGAATTGAGCGAATCGTTCCCAACTTTATTGCTGGATTGAAAGTTAGTAAAGCCACAAGACTGACTAACCATTCAGGCCTTATACAAGCTGTTATTGAATTGAATGCAAAAAACTTAACTGGTTGTAGGACTCATTATTAGCGTAAACTTTTCTATAGGAGTATAACATTTTGTTCAAAACTTAATTGTTTTACACCTAAAATTCGAAATACATGAAGTATGAAATCGCCCGCGATGTGTAGTTAACAAATTAATACCTACATTCTTCAAAGCAACAGAAACCATCCGGTAATATCAGGTAATAAGGTCGTCGCTCACATGTGTTCAAGAAACAAATAATAATAAATAAAAGAAAACCTAGTTTATTTTCCAAAGGGCTCATTTATTAACAACAAAATAAATACATGTTGTTCACTGTGGTACCGTGCGTTGGAACAATAAAAACATAAAATATTGGATAGAATTACAAAGTTTTTGCAAACTTATAACACTCGACAAATAGTTTCATTTGAACGATCACAATAAATCATCAAATATGTAAATGCCTCTAGCACCGCAGGCATTTCACTTATTTATAAAATTCGCTCAAAATACCATCCTTCTCTTTTAATTTATGCTTGAATTAGCCGGGTCATTGAAGTCTGTATTCTGTCACTGGATTTTGACGAATTGTTTGAGCCACCACAGCATTCACACGTGTAGTTACTTCTTCCACAGAATTCATGGCGATCGCGTACACTAACTAAAAAAATAACAGCGAGTTAAGTCCGGGGAACGAGACACACACGTTAATGCAGTATGGATGCAATTCTTGTTCGTGAAGGGTCCGTTCTACAATACCCGTACAAAATGGCAATCGACAAATGCTGATATTGACCTCTTCCACAAAAACATCCAAAATTTCGGGTTCCAGATCCAGTACCCGATCTGTGTGTGAATTTCCTGAAATCACGTCGGTGTGAAACTGCTGCAACAAACGTGTGTCCAGCTGGAAGGTTTGTGGTTTGGGTTTGGGAAGTGTACACTGTACTCAACTCTCACCTGCTGGGTATTGTCCGCAGCTTCACAGCTACCCAAGTACCATATCCGTGTATTTTACGTTGGTATAAATCATTGTACTATCTTTTGCACTGCAAAAATTACCCGAAAACTGAAAATTCACCACCCCAATTGCACGTTTGTAATCAAATCACAACGGGCTTAGTCGCTTTTGCGGCAAAAACTTGCACTAAGTGTTTAGCCAAACGAAAATGAATTGATATACTGACCGGTTCGTCAACACGAAGGGGGGGTAGGGGGCAGGCCAAAAAAATGAGTTTTCGGATAAATGCTACCTAGCGAAGTTTCATATATGTACATATTTATGAGTTCTAGTATCAGTTCAATTGTTTGCATTCAATTCCACAACAGGCTCTATGTGTCGATTGTACTATCAGGATTACTTTTTTCACGAAAAATGCATTTATATGGAATCGTTTTTAATCAAAATTTATTGAATTAGCGTCAAAATCAACTATGTCATCTTTCGGCATAGTCCCCATTAAATTTTATACAGGTAATTCACAGTTTTAGAAGAGCTTGAATACCCGTAGAAAAAACTTCTTCTGATCGCAAGCACAACTCCTCATGCACCGCCTATATTACTGTATCATTTATCTGATTTTTTTTTCACCTAATGCCTCTTTAAAGGGACTAAAGGAATCGTAATAGGGTAGGACTACGTTAGGACTGTTGCCACCATGGAATCTGGAGGATATGGCGGTGCTTTATTGTAGTGCAAAAAAAATTCCAACACTCAAAGACCCGTACCTTTCGGTCTGATGGCCAGCTTTGAGACGGTTCTTTAGGAGTTCTCAGTAGTGCTTGCTCTCTTAATCTCGAGAATACACTACACTTAGGACTCATTTCCAATCACAGTCATTGCTAAAAAGACATTATTTTTTTATTTATATCGTTACAGGAATGTTTCACATAGTATTATTGACGTATTATGTCAATATTCTGGTGTAATACTCCAGTGAGGTCCCCATTTTTAAACTGCCACTATTTCAACATTTTACTTACCGAGCGTAAGCTGAAGAAGTATCGTAATCGAATCTGTCGGACGAATAGCCACTTTAATGTTTTTTGACGTAAATTACGATAAAATAAGTCGCCCATTTCTGTTTATCTGTCTGTTCGCCGTCTGTGACAATTTTTATTAGAATCTCGAAACCACAGGACCGATTCTTCTCAAATTTTGTGTGTTACGAATATGATGTAGGTGGTAAAATGCTAACAAAACATTGCCTAATTTGCCCCACCAACAATGTGATAAAACCATCTCCAATTTTTTGTCAAAAGGAAGTTGTTAGTTCTACACAAAGCGTTAATAAAATAATTTTTCTAAAGACGGATCCATCTTCTCTAACTGCTCTTACTTTCAGTGCCGCTTTGCTTGAATAATCATCTTCAACTTTTTCTAGGGCAATGTTATTACCATTACTGATGAATGAGCAAAATAAACGTCAGAGCGAGTATGGAACACAGGTATGGATCGAGTTCACGATCTTCGGTGGTAAGCTTTGGACGTTCTGTGCCTAGTTTCCGTATGACTCAAAATTTTCAATTCTTCTCTTCGCCAATAAAACTGTACTTTTGCTGGAATCCAGTTCATCAGCAATAACTTTTAGAACTCGCGTCAAGTCTTTGTCAAATTATATGCTTCTGAAAACAAGTTAAAGGCATTTGTAGATTTCTATTGCCAAAACTTGAAACTGTCAAGATGACAAATTAAATTTTTTATTGACAATCCAACTCTAAAATTCTTAACCAATAAAATGGCAGGATTGTTCGAAATTTGTCCAATGGCATTCACCGAAAAATGTTTTCAGTGAAAAAACATCCTTCTGTTAGGCAACAACACTGTTTTTCAGCGAAAAAATGTATGTCAAATTAATTTGTCAAACTTGTAAAATGAACTTTAATAAAAAATGATAATGGAACATACAAAAATACATTTGAAACTGAAATTACTGATTACTGATTGGAATAATAACAATTCAAGGTACAATTTTTATAAATCTTATTTTCCTTTTCATCTTCTTTTTTCTCCACTTTCGACAGCTGTAATATCTTGCCTAAATGTTGTTACAATTTTATTGTGGTGAGAACTGTCTAGCTGCAAATAAGGACGGATAGATCCTGCCGAAGAATGTCCTGTAATTTTTGTTAATTGTTGTTCGCCAATTCCAGCTTTTGTAAGTTGACTAAGAGCTGTCGAGCGTGCAGAGTGATTTGTGATTTTTCGGCTTTTTGTATCCAATCCCACTTTTTCAGCACTAGTTTTAAACCGTTTACTGAATTCGTTTACACCAACTGGTGAATTTTTGTACCAAGACGATGTCTTCCATGAAGGATTTTCTGTCAAA